GAGACACAGAGGGTTAAAATATATGCAGGAAGACATGGGAACAACTTGAGAGCCAAAATTGTGTAAAAACATTGAAAACTTTGAGATTGTTTTACTTCAGTGGAGAGAGTGTGTTTGCAAACAGCATTGCAAACTTGCGTGGTTGGAACTATAGCTCTTGACCTGTAGTTAGAAGCATAGTTTCTTGTTAGTAAGACAACATTAAGGGGGCCTAATGGTTAGAGAGTCTGACTTGTAACCCAAAGGTCATGGGTTCGGGTCTCAAGGATTGTAGGTGGGGGGAGTGAATAACTAGCGCTCTCTTCCACCCTCAATATCACGACTCAGGTGAGACCATTGAGCAAGAACTAAACTCCCAACTGCTCCCCGGGACCCGCAGCATTGGCTGCCCACTGCTCCGGGTGTGTGTTAACATGGGGATTCACATGTAAATGGTAAACAACAAAAACAGTTCAGATCATGTTGTTTCAGTCATACTTCGATATAGAACGCTCTATTTATTTAATGTTTTTATTTATTTTTTATATTACACCATACTTTAACCCAAACTGAATAATTGAAAAAGTTTAAATGGGTAAATCTACCATACATATTTTTGATTCTTCTTTTTCTTTTCTGACATAGTCCAATTATTGTTAAAACACACTGGACATGCTTATTCTGTGCATTTGTAGCACTTTTTGTGTGAAATCATATCTATTTTGTCCATCAAAAGTGTGCTGTCACATTAATTGAGCATGAGCAGTGTGTTTGTAACACATGAACAATGTAGCGTGTTTGTAAATATCTAAACAATTGGTTTCTGGGAATGTTATACAAAACATTTAACTGGTCAAATGAAGCAAAGTTACCCTCAATGTAAAGATCAGCTACAGAGAGGATACCCTGATGCCTCCAGTGAGCAGATGCACCATCCAGGGTAGAGGGGAGACACAGAGGGTTAAAATATATGCAGGAAGACATGGGAACAACCTGAGAGCCAAAATTGTGTAAAAACATTGAAAACTTTGAGATTGTTTTACTTCGGTGGAGAGAGTGTGGCAGGGAAATATAAAAGAGCAATATAAGAGAGGATTTACAAGAAGCTTAACCATTAATAAATCCAGAGTAATATGGACCGCATATTCACAGCTCAGTAATAGAACAGAAAATTAGGAAAGGCCAAACCACCCAAATGCTTTGGTTTCTGCAGGATACTTTTTCGAATCTTTGGGATCTTGCCAAGCCATATGAATTGAGAAATAAATCTTTCTTTGTTACACTAGATAGTTCTAATGATATAGATAGGGATACACTAAAAAATATATAGAATGTGACACAGATGACTGATTATTTTATTCCCCTATTCTGACACTCCACAGTGATCAGTTTCTTAACAATTGCTAGGGAAGTAGAATGTCAGTTATAGGAAAAATTCCAAACGGAAGTGAGAATCCCTATGGCCTACTCCCTTCAAAGGGCAGAGCCCTTAAAGTGTGTTATTTGAAGGGTGCAGGGCATTACTGTCTTGTATAAGTGTTTGGAACTCCCTTGACGAAGGGAATGACTGACCAAATGTTACCTTGACAACGTGCAGCATTCAGCACTCCATCACTTGTTGCAAATAAATATTTCTTCTTATTATTAATATTTTATTCAAATATTGTCTAATTGTGTCTTACTATTAAACTTTTTCAAACTAAACTTGCTTACACTACAATCTTAAATCATATTTCTATCACTGACGAAAAATATGTTGTCTTACATTAAAATAGACAAATGTAATTAGCCTATTATACTTATGTTTGAATGTGAACTTGAAATCAACCCCAACTTTGCTTTAAAATGCATTGCAAGATCTTCTGACCGAAGATCACATGATCACAAATGGAAATCACTTCCATGAAGTGACCATCGCATGTTCCCTTCGCTAACGGACTTCTGGAGGGGCCCTTCATGAAGGGATTCAGTTGTTCACTTTTGTTTGGAACATCCCTACAAATGGCATGCCCTTCCCGAAGTGCCCTTCAAGGGTGCAAAAAAGCCGTTTGGAATTCACCCAATGTCCCTAGGCTGTCAGGGCTGTATGCATGTCATTCTTGCAGTGTCCATTTTTGTCAAATGGCTGTGTCTTATCTGTCCTAGGGGGACTCGAAGCATGATACCAAGATCTTTTCTCTATCTGTCCTTCTGAGTAGCACTCTAGTGCTGAACAGCCAAGGGACAATCGACAACAGAGCTATTGAAGAACTGCAGTATCCTTCCATTCCTACATTATACCTTAACTGTTAATACTTGAGTTGATCTTTGATGGTTTAGTTTGATATTCTGAATTTTCTGTCCATGAGTGGTTTTGCTTGACTTTGTTCAGTGAAAAATGGCTGAAATAGCATTATTAAACCTGTAGGGAAAAATAGCAAGTTCAAAAGATCATGGTTTAACTACTTGACTTTTCCTGTGTTTGCTCGGTAAGAATTTAAACAGTAATGAAATTCTAATATTTCAACATGGTTAGTTCTCATTACAGTTTTGAAAAATGCTAGAAAATTTTAAATCTGTGGAGTGGAGGGAAAAGAGGGGAGACAACACAACAATGGCTTCTGGTCCAGTCAGTGTTATTTTACTCTCACGGAGTTTAAATCAAATGGTTTTGAGAAACAGTTTAAACGGTTTCACAAATGCATGCAACTAAATAAACAAATATATTATACGTGGTTATACAAGCTCACAGAATATTGCTTCAGGGTTTCAAACTGAGCGTCACAGAGTGGGAAGAGGTGGATCACACAAAGTTACTTGGCAGCAGCTAAATTTATGTTGCAGAATGACACACACACACACACACACACACCGTTTAGTCTAGGGTTGCACAATATATAAATCACTATAATGCTTAGTGTGATTATGAAATTGCAAAGGCTGCGATTTAATTAAAATATATATGCTGCGTATTTCAGAGTGAAGCTCATGACTGTGGTCTTTTTCACAGCTCATGGGAAAAGTTTTTTCAGCACAGTTCACAGTAGATGCTGTTCACACAAACTCCATCTCTGCATGTGTGGTCAGTGAGTTTGGGTCACATGATGTGCATTCGAGAATGCAACACATGCTAACCATTGTTCTTTGAAGGGTGTAGGGCATTACTGTCTCCTATAAGCATTTAGAACTCCCTTGACAAAGGAAATGAATGGCCAAATGTTACCTTGACAACGCCGCACGTGCGTGCAGCATTCAGCACTCCATCAGTTGTTGCAAATAAACATTTCTTATTATTTTATTCAAATATTTTCTAATTGTTTTATTTACTATTAAACGTTTTCAAACAAAACTTGCTTACACTACTGTCTTAAATTATATTTCTATCACTGACGAAAAATTTTCTTAAATAAAAAAAAAGACAAATTGAATTAGCCTATTCTATGTTTGTATGTGAACTCGAAATCAACCCCAACTTTGTTGCTTTAAAAAGCATTGCAAGATGTACTAACCGAAGATCACATGATCACAAACGGAAATCACTTCTTTCATTTGGAACATCCCTAAAAATGGCATCCTCTTCCTGAAGTGCCCTTCAAGGGCGCAAAAAAGCCGTTTGGAATTCACCCAATGTCCCTAGGCTGTCAGGGCTGTATGCATGTCATTCTTGCAGTGTCCATTTTTGTCAAATGGCTGTGTCTTATCTGTCCTAGGGGGACTCGAAGCATGATACCAAGATCTTTTCTCTATCTGTCCTTCTGAGTAGCACTCTAGTGCTGAACAGCCAAGGGACAATCGACAACAGAGCTATTGAAGAACTGCAGTATCCTTCCATTCCTACATTATACCTTAACTGTTAATACTTGAGTTGATCTTTGATGGTTTAGTTTGATATTCTGAATTTTCTGTCCATGAGTGGTTTTGCTTGACTTTGTTCAGTGAAAAATGGCTGAAATAGCATTATTAAACCTGTAGGGAAAAATAGCAAGTTCAAAAGATCATGGTTTAACTACTTGACTTTTCCTGTGTTTGCTCGGTAAGAATTTAAACAGTAATGAAATTCTAATATTTCAACATGGTTAGTTCTCATTACAGTTTTGAAAAATGCTAGAAAATTTTAAATCTGTGGAGTGGAGGGAAAAGAGGGGAGACAACACAACAATGGCTTCTGGTCCAGTCAGTGTTATTTTACTCTCACGGAGTTTAAATCAAATGGTTTTGAGAAACAGTTTAAACGGTTTCACAAATGCATGCAACTAAATAAACAAATATATTATACGTGGTTATACAAGCTCACAGAATATTGCTTCAGGGTTTCAAACTGAGTCACAGAGTGGGAAGAGGTGGATCACACAAAGTTACTTGGCAGCAGCTAAATTTATGTTGCAGAATGACACACACACACACACACACACACCGTTTAGTCTAGGGTTGCACAATATATAAATCACTATAATGCTTAGTGTGATTATGAAATTGCAAAGGCTGCGATTTAATTAAAATATATATGCTGCGTATTTCAGAGTGAAGCTCATGACTGTGGTCTACACACACACACACACACACACACCGTTTAGTCTAGGGTTGCACAATATATAAATCACTATAATGCTTAGTGTGATTATGAAATTGCAAAGGCTGCGATTTAATTAAAATATATATGCTGCGTATTTCAGAGTGAAGCTCATGACTGTGGTCTTTTTCACAGCTCATGGGAAAAGTTTTTTCAGCACGGTTCACAGTAGATGCTGTTCACACAAACTCCATCTCTGCATGTGTGGTCAGTGAGTTTGGGTCACATGATGTGCATTCGAGAATGCAACACATGCTAACCATTTAACCAGATTTATCATGAAAAGCGTCTATAAACCTGTTGCCAAAATAGGCTCCCTATGGTTTTATAAAAGATAATTATTTATATTAAATACTCAATCTCTTTAATATCAAACTTTTAACTACAGTACTTCTTGAGCACATTATTTTTTCCAGTACTTTAAATTTGTTCCACCATGTCTATGTAAATAAGTTGAGGCAGCAGTTTAAAACTACTCAGTTACTCTTCTCTTCATTTCAACATAGCCATTAGACTATTGATTTGACAATTTAATGTTTATCATATTTTTTATGTCTTACCATTAGTCTTTTGGTATTGCATTATGCCTGTCTATGTAGGGAATGGAAAAGTTTGGGAACCCGTGTATTACACAAATGTACACATATCCTGTGATAGCTCAAATAAATGCACAGCAATTAGCATTTTTACTCTGCAATGAAAATATTTGTGGATTAGGCTTGCTGCGGTAGTTGGAGTTACCGGCATTACCCGGTGTTCAGTCGTACACCAAATACATTATTATTTACCCACCGCAGTACTGCCCTCACTGTCGTTTTGCTTTTTTACAGAAATAAAAACCATTTAGTACAGTTGGACAACAGACGCTACACTTATAAACTGAAAGTGTCTGCTCTGCTCCATATAGTGCGCGCTGCAGAGCTGCAGCAGGAGTCAGGTTTCACTGATCAGGGGGAGAGAGGGAGAGAGGCGTCGGTTGTATATGAGCATGAAGGTGCTGAGGAGCACGAATACTGAGGAAACTGTGGCAGATGGAGAATTTGCTTTTCAATTGAAATGACCATTTAGCCAATTTAGTTTTAATTTTCTTTTTGTTTCCATTTTGAAAAGCCTGCTGTCTTTGCTGTTTACCTAATGTTACAGAGGCCTTTTTATTTATTTAATTTTTTTTATTTATTTGATTCCACAGTGTTTGCTAAACTTTCTGTAATGTATTAGTCGATATACTGTATAATACAGCATGTGGTGTATGCCACGCCTTGTCTAATTCATTTTTGTTGTGCTTTTCATTAAGAGTAATAATGAGTCTATCTTTTATTGTTTAAGTCTTAGAAAGTGAAAGGTGTAAAGATGGAAGCACAACAGACAATTATATTTTATTGTCAAACATTACACCAAGATCACAAATTCAAAAGTGAAAGCATCCAGTCATACTGGTTTTGTCGCAAGTTTATAGCCTATATCAGTGTGAAAATTTCCTCGCCGTCACATCCCTAATGTGCATATGCTGTTGCATTTGTAATAACTTTTAAGACGTTATTTTGCAGAGTTTACTGACAAATATAAGGCGTTTGATCAGCTAAAGGCTACTCAAGGAGCTCTGGAACTGAAGGAATAAATAATTATCATGTGAAACTCATTAAGATATGTATCCGAAATTACCCCCTATACCCTTAAATAGGGCACTATTTGAGGGGACAGCCATTTGTAGTGGTGTCTGAATGCATAGTGGACATTCTCGAGTGCACTCATTCAATCCCACAATTCCCTGCAAAAACGTGTGTACAACCGGTGCATGCTCAACGGCTAGAGAATACCCATAATGCACTGCGAGAGTCACGCGCCAAATGAATTCCCGTGTCTTGCCAGAAGATGGCACTCGCAGCTGAATCATCCATCCATCCTTACATTTAACAAAGCACTTATCCACGGCGTACTACAACAGGTATAAATTCAATGTAAATTCATTGTTTACACATAATTTCCATGACAGAGTTCAAGATAAATCCTTCAATCTTACTACTGGAGCTGCCAGTTTGCCAGTTTCAAATGATTATTAAACATCAAGCGCAAACTATGCAGAAGCGGCAGTCCTTCCGGTGCACTCAGTGTCCGAATTCACTCACTCATTTTCATCCACTCTGTCAAGTGAACTGTATTAGTGGCCTAATGTAGGGAGTAGTGAATGAGGGTATAGGGGGCGATTTCAGATACAGACATAGTGTTCCATTAAATGACCGAGCCATTCACACATGTAGCTCTCTATTTTCTCTATGGCATAAGATGTTCCCTGTTTGCTTAGTATCCAAACCTAAACCATCTCCAGATATGTCACAGAGTTAACTGAGTATATCAAGATCAAATCCTCTGATGAGGATGAAGACGACGAGTTTGTCAAGTTCTTCCCCAGTTTCATCTGGGCTGTAAGGGACTTCACCCTAGAACAAAAAATAAAAGGCAAATACGTGACCGAGGACCAATACTTGGAATTTTCCTTGAAGCTGAAACCAGGTAATATTAAAACTTTTAAATGATCTGACCATAAATGAGAAGGGTATGTAAGAGATACTGTATAGTCGGCCAGTCAATTAATATTAATAATAAAATAATATAATTTCTGCTAAAGCATGCAAGCAATTGAAAGCAACTGGGAATGTCAATTTAGAAGCAACACTGTATTTTGCTAATCTCTTTGACAAATACAAATTTTAAAGGCGCTTCAAGAACAGTCAACGAGTTCAACCTTCCACGGCAATGTATCCGAAATTATTTCCCATCCCGGAAGTGCTTCACTTTCCCTTTCCCAACCGCCCCAGAGAATGTGTCTCATCTGGAGAGCTTGGATCCTGCGGAACTTTCCCCTGATTTCCAGGAGGTCACACAACGTTTCTGCAAGTTTGTCTTTGACAAGAGTGAAGTGAAGAAGCTGAAGGACGGATACACCATCACTGGCAGAGGTGATTCAATGGGGATTCTGAAATGATCTGACCATAAATTTGCTATAATTGAAAATGTACAATACAATTAATATAAATATATATTATGTAATTAAAATAATTATAAAATAATTAACCATAAAATATGACCAAATTTACCACATTCATTTACACAAGTAAATTTCTTAGTTTGGCACAGTTGTCAGCTGTTATGAAGTAGTAATGAGACATGTCTTTTTCTGTAGTTTGCTGAGCTGCTGTCAATAGAGGAACCATGTTTTGGGTTAAGATACCTAAAATTGTTGGGGGGGGGTTGTGCTTGTTGCGCTATATTGTTATTGGTTATATACTCTGCCTGGCAAAATGTCTCTGGCATGTTATATGTTTGGCAGCAATTCTTTTAACCCTAACTGATGCAGTGTGTAGCTTTTCATTTCTTAAACAACCATGTCAAAGTTCATTTGATCCAAATTGTGAAATAGAGGAATCATTTTCATGTTTCATTTTCACTACAGAGTTTTGAGCTGAACCCCACTGAAAGTCTTTGGGATGTGCTGGAGTCGACTTTACAGAGCCGCTCGACTCTCCCATTTTCAATACAAGATCTCTGCCAAACATTAATGCAACTCTTGATGGAAATAAATGTTATGATGTTGCATAATATTGTCGAAACAATGCCACAACGAAAGCACAATATGATCAAAGATAAATGCCATCCAAGAAAAATATTAAAGTGTGCGACTTTTTTTTGGACAGGCAGTGTAAAGTTGACATCCAAAAGACTTTCAGTGGGTTCAGGTCAGGACTCTGTGGTGGCCAGTCTTTCACAGTTTGAGCCTGATGAATCTTGTCATTATTATGCTGGAATATGGACATGGGTACGTCTATTGACATGGTTCTTTGAGAAATAAAAAGCTATGCTGCACTGCATCAGTTAGGGTTAAAAGAATCGTTGCCAAACATACAACATGCAAGAAATATATGATTCACTGCAATAATGATCAATGATAATGAATAATGATCAAATTGCAACAATCAATTCTAACATCTTAAAAAAAACATAAAATATTTGCTTATTTAACTCCAGATGGTGACTTGTTTGGCCAGGCAGTGTATGTTACCCCCATACCAGTAGGGAGACAGACTGGTTTCTTAATTGAATGTTCTTATGTCTTTGTGATTTAATAGCATTATACTGAGAGACATAATGTAAGCTAAATGCTAAACATTCCTGCTAAAATATATTGCATAAACTGAGTATCAGATATTACCATTATTTTCTGAACTGCATATTATTAATATACAGGTTGCAAGTTAACGTTCTTTTGTGTGACCCTTCTCCTCCTCTGAAGTCCTGGGTCAGTTTGCGAAGACATATGTAGACATGATTTCCAGCGGTGAAGTTCCATTTCTGGAGAATGCAGTCATGGCCATGGCACTGATTGAGAATGCGGCCGCGGTGAAGGAGGGGCTTGAGGTGTACCAGAGTGGAATGGAGAAGCTGAAGACGTCCTTCCCCCTGGAACTGAAGGAAGTATCATCAGAGCATCAGTGTCTCAGCAGGACTGCAACACAGGCCCTAATGAAGCGTTCCTTCAAGGACAGTGAGGGGACATACCTGAAATCTCTAGAGGTGATGAGCATTAAATAGTTATGTACAATTTCAATTAGACTGTTATTAAACACACTGGTCAGGCAAAATTCATGAGTCAAAGTTCCCTATAGTTAAACTTTTGGTATTCAAGGATACATTGAAATTAGGTGATGGCTGTTTGAAGGGAGTTCTGGGCATATTTGGCCAGAAAGAATCGACACCATTCATTTTTTATTTGATTTTTTGGCTGTAATGAATGATATGACGTCTATTGACATGGTTCTTTGAGAAATAAAAAGCTATGCTGCACTGCATCAGTTAGGGTTAAAAGAATCGTTGCCAAACATACAACATGCAAGAAATATATGATTCACTGCAATAATGATCAATGATAATGAATAATGATCAAATTGCAACAATCAATTCTAACATCTTAAAAAAAACATAAAATATTTGCTTATTTAACTCCAGATGGTGACTTGTTTGGCCAGGCAGTGTATGTTACCCCCATACCAGTAGGGAGACAGACTGGTTTCTTAATTGAATGTTCTTATGTCTTTGTGATTTAATAGCATTATACTGAGAGACATAATGTAAGCTAAATGCTAAACATTCCTGCTAAAATATATTGCATAAATTGAGTATCAGATATTACCATTATTTTATTAATATTATTAATATACAGGTTGCAAGTTAACGTTCTTTTGTGTGACCCTTCTCCTCCTCTGAAGTCCTGGGTCAGTTTGCGAAGACATATGTAGACATGATTTCCAGCGGTGAAGTTCCATTTCTGGAGAATGCAGTCATGGCCATGGCACTGATTGAGAATGCGGCCGCGGTGAAGGAGGGGCTTGAGGTGTACCAGAGTGGAATGGAGAAGCTGAAGACGTCCTTCCCCCTGGAACTGAAGGAAGCATCATCAGAGCATCAGTGTCTCAGCAGGACTGCAACACAGGCCCTAATGAAGCGTTCCTTCAAGGACAGTGAGGGGACATACCTGAAATCTCTAGAGGTGATGAGCATTAAATAGTTATGTACAATTTCAATTAGACTGTTATTAAACACACTGGTCAGGCAAAATTCATGAGTCAAAGTTCCCTATAGTTAAACTTTTGGTATTCAAGGATACATTGAAATTAGGTGATGGCTGTTTGAAGGGAGTTCTGGGCATATTTGGCCAGAAAGAATCGACACCATTCATTTTTTATTTGATTTTTTGGCTGTAATGAATGATATGACATTTTAACCATTCAAAGACATCTAAATACACCATCACATTCAACTTTTGATTCAGATTAAATGTTATTTTTGAAGTAGTTGTAGCCTCTAAATGGTGTTTTAAGTTTACTGTCTCTGATATTTTGTGTGATGCTGCAGGAAGGCATTAATAAACTCTTTCATGGATACTTGTGTCAAAATGAGGAGGCTTCAAGGAAAAGATGTGAGAATATTCTGTCATCCCTCTCTGGAACAATGACAGAGAAGCTGAAGAAAGGATCCTATGCCATACCTGGTGGTTATGTTCTCTTCTCCCAGGACCTTGAAGACATTGTGAAGAAATATAAAATCCAAGCCAATAAAGGAGTCAAGGTGATTATCAATGTTTGACACAATTACTGCCACAACCTAGGCCTTTTAGATAGTAAGAGATCTCTGTAAGAGGCTTGTAAGTGTTTTCCTAGACTATGTGTACACATAATATAGAATCAGCTGGGAATAATAGTGTTCCTGGTTTGAATCGTTCTGGCCAAAATATTGAAGTGGCCTTCAGCAGGACACTAACTACTCTAGTGGCTGAGACATTGACACTTTGTATGGTAGACTCCACCACTTGTTTATTTGTTGGTTGATTTGAACCAAAGCAGAACTGCTTGATGAAATTCCTTGTTCTGCTGCAACATTGTATATGACAAAACATGTGTCAGTTGTGATGTAAAACCAAATTCCATGACACTCATGCACAATGCATAGTTGGCCCTAGTATTAGTAGTAGAAGTCATTTTTTGATAGTACTAGTCATAGAGATGTGGTAGTGGTGATTCACGTTATCATGTATGTGGTGTCCACAGGTAGAAGACACACTTGAAGAGTTTCTGAAGCAGAAGTCGGTGGAGTCTCAGGCAATTCTGCAGGCTGACAATAAACTGATGGAGAAGGAGAAAAAAATTATGGGTGAGAGTTTTTAGCATGAAACAATAGCTCCTTCTAGAGGAGAAAACCAGTTCATAAGAGAAATGGTGCCTGCTTTACAGTGAAACTAAAAATGTATTAATCAAATGCAGTGTATTCCTTCCATGTTCCATACTGAAATGGCTGTTTCATCTAATGATATAAACTTATTACATTTCTTAAAGAAAAAAGTATTGACCAGGGGCACATCAGGTACTCAAAAGCGAGACTATGGGTGCTCCAGAGAGGGAACAAAATGTAAAAAACAAAAAGTGGATCCCATTGCAAGAAACAAAAATAATCCACGTCAAAGTTTAATTTCTTGCATGTCAAATGTCGTTAGTATTACATAGTTATGAAGAAAACGTCACAATAGCCTTAATTGTCTTATCACCTGCATAAAATTAAGCTTAGCAGAAATGTTTTGTTAGGGAGGCGATTAAACTGCACTGCAATCATGGTGCATCATTTGAATCAGGCAGAACTCTTCACTTATGGGTTTATGATGTGTATCACTTAGGCTATATTGAGACTGCTAGCAAAAATCAGATTTTTTTTTGCATATCTTGGATTCATCCAGATGGTTGTTTAAAGTCTGGACAGCAAAAAAAAAAAAATCTGTTATTTGCAAATCTGATTTAAGCCACATTTGGAGCACATTTATTAATATTAAGCCTAAAATGTGTTTTAATGTTAGATATAAAATCAGTCTTTAAATTCAAGATATTTAAAGTGTACCTGAAGTATACGTGCAATATTTCCACTTTAGCACAATCAAATATACTTCAGTATATCTTTAGTTGGACTTCAGCACTGCTTCTGCACAATTATGAATTAAGTACAAAATTAGTTTTGCCAATTTAGCAGACTTTAAGTATCCCAGTTAATATACCAAAAGTAGAATTAAAGGGTATTTTCTATTAAGCACATAAATATGTAAATGTATTTGTATGTATGAAATAAATGAATTTCAAATACATTTTAGTATATTCATATATACAGCAGGAGTGTCAAAATCAGTTCCTGGAGAGACGTAGTCCTGCAGAGTTTAGTCCCAACCTGCTCCAACACTCACACCATGTGGTTTTCAAATGAGCCTGAAGGTCTTGGAGCTAAACTCTTCAGGGCTGTGGCCCTCCAGGAACTGAGTTTAATATTACATGCTTTATTACATTTGCCTGATTGTCTTCTACCAGAGGAAAGAGAGAAGGCCGTTCTCCTGGCTCAAGAAATAAACACCAAGGAACAGAAGCAGCGGCAGCTAGAAGAGAAGATGGAAGCAGAGAGAAGGAGTAATGAAGAGAGGATGAAACAGATGAGGGAGAAGATGGATGAGGAGATGCGGCTTCAGAGAGAAGAGGCTGAGCGTGCCATGGACAGCAAACTGAGGGAGCAGGCCGCTCTGCTGGATAAGGGCTTTCAGGAGAAGGCTGACAGGATGTCTGAAGAGATGGAGGACTTCAGGAGGAAGAATAAAAACGCAGAGAAGGAAAGTCACAAACTGTTTGAAAAGATGATAACAAACATGAACAAAAGACACGCTGAGAATATGAATCTGATGAAGAGGCAACACAGCGAGCAGATGGAGGCAATCATGAGTATGCCAAAGCCCTCGTCTGACTCCTCCGCTCTGGTCTTACGTCTGCTACTCATTGGTCTCAGCAGCATTACCGGTGGCTCACGTCCCTGTTAAAGCAGTCATCTATCCCTGTTAAAGCCATCTGTCTGACAGACGCTTTCAGCCAAAGCAATGTACATGTTAGATGAATTAACTAGTGATGGAGGCTGTCCATCAGGGTTCCATATCATCAGGAGCATGTGGAGTTCAATGCCTTCTGTAACACTGGAAACATTGTGTTTTACAGTGAATTTCTGGCAGCTGACACTTTTTAATCCCCTTTATCTTTATGCCAAAGATCTTTATACCAAATGCTATTGTTTGTACAGAAACTGTATTTTAATATTATTAATCCCTCCCCAACCAACCCATAACAAACTGCCTAATATAAATAATAATAATAATAATAATAATGATGATAATAGTGATCACAATTATGGTAATAGAAAATAAAATACATTAAAGATGAATGATTTAATAGTTAAATAATGATGAAAAATAAAGTAATTAAAAATAAATAAATAAAAAGGTAATTGGATACCACAATCAGGAATATTACAATGTAAATTCGCTGTAATGAACAACATAAACACTGCATAAGAGAGGGGTGAAAAAGAAAGAAGAAATTGCAATAACAATGTAAATCACATTACTCCACAGGAAGTAAATTTTTAGCAGAGAAATATTATACAGTATAACATTAAATCCTGAAGCCAGTGTGACACTTTGGGCAGATTTGTAGATTTCCAATGTAATAAAACTTGTCTGCGAGCCAATGAGGATGCAAAGGCAATATTGTTTAGTTGTCTTTGAGTCAAATTTGATTAATCACCTGGAGCACCAAATATTGCAAATTCAGCACATGGCTTCAACAGGGCTTCACACACTTTAGAAAGTGCATCAAATATGGTTGACCAGTATGCAGTAAGTGTGGAGCACGTCCAGAACATGTGAGTCAGGTCTGCTTCACCTGTGTGACACCTAATACAGGTCCTGTCAAAAGTAGGATTAAAGGAGGCAATCCGTGTTCTGCTTAAATGCATACGGTGCAATACTTTAAACTATATTAAACTCAATCGGGCACAAGAGGTACTTCCGTTCACTCTATGGAGGGCATTGCTCCAAATTCCTCTGAAAATACTACTCCGAGCGCTTTCTCCCATCTGCTTTTGAGGGAATATTTGGAAATTATGTGCACTGGGCATTCACAAAATTATGTATCTGAAAATAAGGGAAAAGGTTGGCTGAATTAAGAGTGAATTTGAAACGCAGATCATTAAAGCTTGCAAAAAGACCATCAATATAAAGATCGCCAAACTGAGTGCTCTTATCTTGCCACTGTTTAAATGCAGAGTCTAGTTTTGCAGGCAGGAATGCATGATTGTTGCATATTGGACTCTGAAACAAGGGCGCTTGTCTTAACTTCAAATGCTGACGTAGCTGAGTCCATATTTTAAGAGTGAAATGAACAACTGGATTTGATGTGTATCGTGCTATTTTAATAGGTAAGCTAGATATTACTAGGCCTTGTAAAGAGGTTACTGTGCAGGATTTAGATTGTGTTTCATTCCTATCAGTACCTCCCGATGAGCACATCCAGTAGATTATCTTTTGGACATTAGCCGCCCAATAATAGTATAAAAAGTTATACTATTATATTAAATTATATTATATTAATATATATTATATTAAAATCCTAGGGATTTTCCCATTCCATATAAAACTGGAAATAAGTTTATCTAGTATGTTGAAAAAGGCTTTGGATAGGAAGATGGGGAGGCACTGAAATAGATATAAGAATCTTGGAAGTCATTTTAACACAGTTCACTCTGCCAACCAGAGATAGATGGAGAGTCCTCCATTTTTGAAGATCAGGGCCTGTATTTATCAAGCTTCTCAAAGTGCCATTTTTTTTATTTATATATTTATAAAAAAAATTAAAAAAAAGGGGACAGTGTACATTAATCAACATTCGTGAATGTAAATGTACTCAAATTAGCCCAAAGGCTAGTTTTCATTGGTAGTCCCTTTGCCAGATGTTATTAGGCCAAAAAAATAGAGTAAAATAAAGAAACAAAATAGAAAAACAATAACAACGAAATTCAACCAAAAATTAAACAACAAATTATACAAAATGACAATTCAAAAAATAAAGAAATATGTATTAAAAAAATTTAAATAGAAAGCACCTTATTAAGATATATAAACAACATTAATGTTCACATTGTTGGTTATGAAATGATGCTTAAATTACTTAAATGATGTACATTCTCTAATTGATTGTGGTATTGAATTCCACTGGTGTGATGCTCTGAATGAAAAAACAGCTTGACCAAACAAGGTTTTTCTATGTGGAATTATGCAATCAGCTTTAGCTGCACCTCTAGTTACTCTGTTTTCAATAGATTTAAATTTAATAAAATCAACCAGAGGAGGAGGAGCTAAACCATTCCTAATCTTATAAACTAAACAAATATTTTTAAACTTAGCGATGTTTTCCCATCTAAGGAGGTTATACGTATTTAAAGGGGTCATATGATGCGATTAAAAAAGAAAACTAGCAAAGAACATTTACACTATCAAAGAATAAACACTGACTTCAGTCTAGTGTGAGTTTATGCACTTTAAAAAGTCTGCGGCTCGTTATGGATCCGTCACGGCCACCGGAGCTGATCGCGGCCACTTGTCAATGCTTGTGTACAGGCTGCGCCACGGCAGGTTTCTGAAGCGTCCCATTAGCGGCTCTCCACATTACATCACTAAAGATAGTCTATTTTTGATGGATAATAGCCTAATAATAATAATATTAATAATAATAATCATCATACTATCGTCTATCGGCCCTAAATTGAAGGTTGTGATGATGCTTCGTTTCCTTGCCATAATGTATTCTCTTCAAAATTCTTTATTGTCAAATGTGTGTTGAATAAAACTCCTATTAGGAATTTCACCATTCAATGTGAATTTATCTGAGAATATTTTTAAATAAGGAAATCTATTTAGTCCTACACTTCAGATAAATTACAAATGAGATGCTTGATAACTAACTTTTAAGCGTAGCTTTTGAGCCAAGAAATTTTTCTTAGCAGTGTTCTCGTGTGTAATTCTCAGAGGCTTGATTAATACAGACCCAAATTTGAGTTTAGTCAATAGAGTGAAATTATTTTCATATAGTCCTTAAAGGTTTTGAGTGATATTGATTCCCAGATATTTAAATTTAGATTTTACCATGCAAAGGGGAAACATGGAATCAGGCATATGCCTGGCAAGTGTGTTAACAGGCATGCATTCACTTTTAGAGATATTCAACTTATAGCCAGAGAAGGTCCCAAAATTGTGTAAGACTTTGATAATGTCATTGATGCATGATAAAGGATCTGAAATATAAAGAAGCAGGTCATCAGCATATAATGAGAGCTTATGTTCGACACCCCACTTAACCCTGCCATGAAAAAAGGGTGTAGATTTTAGTGCTAAAGATGGGTTCAATTGCAATTGTAAACAAAAGCACCCCTGCCAAGTGCCCCTTGACAAAGGAAAATTTTTTGACCTCCATTTATTAGTAACCACTGTAGCAACTGGAGAAATATACAGCAGACGAATCCACTCTATAAATTTGGTGCCGAATCCGAACCTATCCATAGTGAAAAAAGATGGGTGGTCCCATTCCACCCGATCAAATGCCTTTTTGGTATCTAATGATGCTAAAATTTCAGGGGAGTCTTAAGAAGAGGTGGTGTAAAGAACTTTTAAGAGGCGACGGATGTTAGAAAATATGTGCTGACCTTTTATAAAATGGTCTGGTTAACGAAGATGATATTGACTAAGGGAGACTCTAATCAGGCAGCAAGTAATTTTGCTAAAATGTTGAGATCTGCGTTTAACAAAGAAATTGGTCGTATGAGCTACATTTGTTGTTGGAACAAACTTGGTCTTTCTCAAATTTGCAATAAAGCTCAAGAAGCAGAGTTCCAGGATGTCAAAATAAGACTTTATTGTCACAGCAACAAAGCCGAGATGACGGCCGCCGCATCTGAAGTCTTTGTCTGTTAGCTCATCTGTTTTATTCCTTTTTCTCTCACCAAAGCTGGTAGTCTGCAGACACCCGATCACGCAGCCCTTCCCTCATGGGCACCCATCAAGGCCACGCTCAACCAACCACGAGCGGCTCCCCGATTTCCTGGGCGTACCCACTTAGGAAGTCGCTGATACGGTATTCATGCCCCTCTTAGGCACCATGCACCTCTTGTGCACACACAAAAACTCTTTACTACTCTAACGCATGCGTGTCTTTTGACATCTGGAGCCTCTTATGCCTGTTACTTTAACTTAAATGATCTAGATTCGATTTGGTGAAGCCCTTTCCTCGATCACCGCCACAGGTTTGACCCTAGCAACCACGCAAACAATTCACCATTTTAATTTACCTCATTAGTCTTTTATTGTTTGCGTGTTTGCCAAGCGTTCACCTGCTACGGCTCTCGTCAAGTTCAGGCTTCTTGCCAGTCCCTTCGTGGTCGCCAATTTGTTGTGGAACAAACTATGGTCTTCTCAAATTTGTCAATAAAGCTCAAGAAGCAGAGTTCCAGATGTCAAAATAAGACTTTATTGTCACAGCAACAAAGCCGAGATGACGGCCGCCGCATCTGAGTCTTTGTCTGTCAGCTCATCCGTTTTATACCTTTTTCTCTTACCAAAGTTGGTAGTTGCTGTTTTTTTATTGGCTATGCCTATCTGGTTTGCCACAATGACTAAATCTTGAGCACTGACTATCCCAGGTCAAGGACATTATGGGTATTAAAACGCACTTGTGCTCATGTGCTCAGATATGCTTATCAGTGGAATTTGCTAGATCAGCCACTTTGGCCACTTTTATTAATGGTGGAATGTGGTTAGATCAACCATTTTAAATGTCAAATTTGGCTACTTGTTCCTGCCTACTGCTGGAAACTTCTAGAAATGACCCAGAGTATATTGGGTTATTTAAGGTAACTTGGTACAATCCAATGGAAACCACCAGTATTGCCCAATGGATAGGCCCTCAGACTTAAAATATTAAGTAAGAGTAAGAATACCATATTGAGTAAATAGCATAATATATAATAGAATTACACAATACATTTTGGTGGATCTTTCTGGGGCTTCAACAAAAGACTTTGTCAGAGTGTAACAGACTTGATTGTATTTCATTTTCTAATTAGTTTTTGTACTTATTTTTATATTCTGTGGGTTTATGTAAAAAGTCAATGAGATGCTTGATAACTAACTTTTAAGCGTAGCTTTTGAGCCAAGAAATTTTTCTTAGCAGTGTTCTCGTGTGTAATTCTCAGAGGCTTGATTAATACAGACCCAAATTTGAGTTTAGTCAATAGAGTGAAATTATTTTCATATAGTCCTTAAAGGTTTTGAGTGATATTGATTCCCAGATATTTAAATTTAGATTTTACCATGCAAAAGGGAAACATGGAATCAGGCATATGCCTGGC